ACTAGAGCCACTAGAGCCACTAGAGCCACTAGAGCCACTAGAGCTACTAGAGCCACTTGAGCCAGAGCTAGAGCTAGCGCTAGAGCTATATCAACAAGAGATACTGGTCAACATGAAGCAACTGCTACAGCTTGCTATAGTTATTCCACTCATGGTGATAGTGATACTAGTGATTGATAGTTCCACTAAGAGTGAACAAAATCACTATGAGGGCCATCATAACTTCTTTGTCAAAAATGGGAGTTAGATCATTCAATTTAGCACACCATAACATTGTCAAAAATGGAAGTTAGATCATTCAATATTGCATCAGATACCTGCTGTAATTGCACCAAGTTCAGCACCTGCCAAAGGCTCCCTATTGGCAGGGCTGCAGGGTGCAGCTGGAAGGAAATGTGTAAACTGTTCTTGCTTCAAACGCTGCAAGAATAAATACATACTGTAGAATGTCTCGATGCCAGCCAGATTGACAACATGGACAGGCTATTTGGTAAACCTTCCAAGCCTAGACTTGTCTTGCTGGGATGTGTCCCATGTGACTACTATGAAGGAAATGTTTTCTGGAGCCACTAACTTCAACGGAAACATTGATGATTGGGACACCGTAGAGGTGACGGACATGTCTTCTATGTTTTCTGGAGCCACAAACTTCAACAGAGACCTACATTAGAACACCGCAAAGGTGTTGGACATGTCTTCTATGTTTTCTGGAGTCACTAACTTCAACGGATACATGTATTGGGACACTGCAGAGGTGACGGGCATGTCTTCTATGTTTTCTGGAGTCCAAATCGAGTCAGGAGGCATGTGCGATTGGAACACCGTAGAGGTGACAGACATGTCTTTTATGTTTTCCCGAGCCATGAGCTTCAAGTTGGGACACTGCAAAGGTGATGGACATGTCTTCTATGTTTTCTGGAGCCACGGTCTTCGACGCTGCAGACGCAAACATTGATGATTGGGACACCTCAAACGTGAGGAACATGGCTTCTATGTTTGATGGAGCCACTCTGATGGTCTCCTMCTCCAGCAGCAAATGGGGAGGGGCGGCATTCAAATCCCCAGAAAAGTTCRACAAATTTGAGCTTAGGAACCACAAATTGGAAGGCGAGGACAACAAGAACGTTCACATATCTTCCTTCAGCRAAAACCCTCTCGTTCCGTTTGTTCTTTTCRAGTATCTTCRAAAAYCAGACRATTCGGGATTGGACTACAAATTRAAATGGGAGTCACAAAATGCAGACTGCAAGGTTGCATCCACGGCACCAGGAAAGGAAATACCGCAGGACAATCTTCCCAGAATTTGGGAAGTTACTATTGACAGAGAAAAAGTTTATTATGCAAGAGAACAATCAACAGGAGAAGAAATTGTGTTGAGGCCAAACGTCGTCAACGGAGGTGTTCGGGTTGGTGAGTGGTATAATCTATGCATGCCAATGGTTTTCAAGCCAGCAAAGTCTTCTCGTTATCTAACTCTCTCCCTCTCTTGTGCTGCTTATTGATGACATTCAGGAAAAGTCTCTTTCGAGTTGCTTGAACCTGGTCTACATTGTACGTAATTATATTGTGAYTTTTGAACGCTCGATCTATACATTCTGGTGGGCAGCTGATGGTCTTGTTTTTGCTTCTTTTTGTGCCATGCAGGTCTCAGGATTTTCTACGAGTATTCTGGTACCGTGGTCTCTCATCTTGATTACRAGATAACTGTGTCAAAAAAAGAAGGACAATTTGCTGCCGTCACAGTTGGCCTTGACAGCTCAAGTGCTTCCATAGAGGCGGAGGTGAAGCAAGAGGTTKGCGTCACAGCAACGTTGTGCAAAGGTCAGACCACCAGTTTCAAGGTTGGTCAAGAGTTTAGCATCTGTGTGGAAACTCAAGGTGATGACGTCATCAGTAGCTTCAAGAACGTCGTCTGCAAGAATGGTGCATTCGAGAAACCACTTTTTGATGGAGTTGGTGACAAGGTAGACCTGCTGACCAGCTTTGATCTCGAAGCCAAGAGATTCACCAGCATTGTCACCACAGGATTGATTGAGGGCAACGRCAATCAGTTTGAATGCATGGGTAGTGTGGTACTAGAGAAGGCACACCTACGCCGTGATCTCCAGGCCTCAGAGGAGAACGCAGAGGATCTCTTTTCCTTGCAGATTCCCATCGCTGCTCGGTCCGATGGTGT